CCCAAGCACAAGTGCAGAGAAGGAGTTCCCTGTGAGGTGTCTTTTCTTTCTTTGAGACAGAGTCTCACTCTGTTGTACCAGGCTAGAGTGCTGTGGTGTCAGCCTCACTCACAGCAACCTCAAACTCCTGAGCTCAAGAAATCCTCCTGTCTCAGCTTCCAGAGTAACTGGGACTACAGGCTCCCCCAGCGCCTGGCTAATTATTTCTCTGTTTTCAGTAGAGATGAGGTCTCACTTGTGCTCAGGCTGGTCTAGAACACCTACCTCAGCCTCCCATAATGCTAGGATTACAGGTGTGAGTTACCTTGCCTGGCCTGAGTTGCCTTTTGTAAGAATTAAGGAGAAAAAATAGACAGGAACTAAAATGATTTGCTCTGGTTATGTGGTTATGTGCAAGGTTTCATGCTTGGAAAAGGAATAACAGATAAAATTGCCAAATTCTTTCCAGCTTCCGACATTGCTTCTATGCCTGCTTAGAGAGACTAAAGTGGTTCTTTTTCTTTCTCTCTTTCTTTTTCCCTTCAGAGGGGATTCCTCTTTGAACACATTGAATGGAAATAAATTAATAATCCAGAGAGAAGTCAGACTCATACTAACCTAGCAACCTTGTAACTGGGCCCCAGAGAAGACCCCCTCGGTACCCCTTCTCCCTCATACACAGCTGCTCCAGTGACCTTTTCCTTCAATGTGGGGTCCAGCCTGATCACCTCTGCTCCAGTGATTTCCGACTTTAAACTCCTACCATCAGGCACCCTCAACAAATTCCCCTGATGTGACTTCCTGCCACCTCCATGGCCAGAGGCCCAGTCCCCCTGACAGGAAGCCCTCTGTCCACTCCTCCTTCACTGTACCCCAGCCAGAATGGCCTGTGCACACACGAGGCCCTTTGTGGCCTCCGTGGGTCCCCCCAGTTGCTCTCTGTTGTGGGAGAAGAAAGCCCGTGCTCCTGACCGTGGCCCTCAGGCCCTCTGCCATCTGGCTCCTGACAGGCAATCCTTAGGTGCCACAGGGCCACAGAAGAAGGGACAGGGAGCTCTGTGTAGGATGGAGTTAAGCAGAGGTGACTTTTAGGTTGAGGCTTGAAGGAGGAAAGGCAAGGATTTGGAACAGGGCCCAGAGAATGGCACCCATGGGGTCAGTAGGCGTCTTCCTCAGGACCACTGTCCCTCCACGGGAGGTGCAGGAAGACCCCCCCCCCCCCCCCAGGCAGCTGGAGAACCCCTGTGGTTGGCCTTGGATTTATGTCTAAAAGGCACGTTCTTCTTTTCTCTGGAGCAGGTCATCCTCCTAGAGGACATGACCTGGACACTGACCAGCACAATCAAAAATGAACTTGAATGTTTCAAGTGTTTTGTCTTCCTCTTGTTGTTTTTCCCTCTGTCCAAAATATCAGGGGGGGCAACATACAAAAACAAACCAGAAAAATGGGTGCCTCTACACTGAGACACAGCAGAGTAATGGGCTTGTGAATACAC